TTCCCACTAGTCCCATTTACTCTGAGCTTATGGGGTAAACCACCTCAACGATGCATCTTTCTAATTTGCACAAGGGCACAGTATAGAATGGTGGAAACTCTTTCCCAAGACCACCCCAAAACTGCTTGTATTGAAGGAAGCACAATGACTGGAATCTAGGCCTACTGACTTCCAGCTCATGACTTTAAATGAAGGTGAAAATTCTCACAGGAAACGAATTTACTGACTTCCTAGAGATAGTCACTTAGCCCCATCCAGGGATCACTGGAAGGACTGCTTTGTGACAAGAAGAATGTAGTGTCCACACTAGATGTGCAGTGTCCACTGCTCCAGAGGTGCACTGACCCATCTCTAGACCTTTTCTACAGGTGTTCTCCTCCTCTTTCCCTGGCCTTACCTTTCCAATACCCTCCTCAGTCTTTATTTACCATATGCCAGGCACTTTGCTAAGTATTTTATAAGAATTCTTTCCAGGACTTGCCTGGCGGTCCAGTGGTTAAGACTCTGAGATGTGGTACAAAACAAGACAAGCCACCAAAATGAGAAGCCCATCAGTGCACCTGGAGAAAGTCTGGGCCCAGCAATGAAAGCCCAGAACAACCAAAAACAAACTAATTAATTTTAAAAGAGAATCCTTCCAGAGCTTAACTGAACCCAGCTAGATAAGTGACCACAGCTATAACACAAGGCACCTAGAAACCACCCACCTGAGCCCAGTCAATCCACAGAAACATAGAAACGTGAGAATTAAAAGTTTACCATTGGTTTAGGCCACTAAATCATTTTAGGGTGATTGGTTACACAGCAAGAGATAATTGCAAGAAGCAACAGTTAAAACCAGACATGGAACAGCTGACTGGTTCAAAATTGGGAAAGAAGTACCACAAGGCTGTATATTGTCACCGGGCTTATTTAACTTCCATGCAGAGTACATCATGCAAAATGCCAGGCTGGATGAAGCACAAGCTGGAACCAAGATTGCCAGGAGAAATATCAACAACCTCAGATATGCAGATGATACCATTCTAATGGCAGAAAGTAATGAGAAACTAAAGAGCCTCTTGAAAATAAAAGAGGAGTAAAAAAGCTGGTTTAAAATTCAACATTCAAAAAACTAAGATCATGGCATCCAGTCCCATCAGTTCATGGCAAACAGAAGGGGAAAAAAATGCAAACAGTGACAGATTTTATTTTCTTGGGCTCCCAAATCACTGCAAACAATGCCTGCAGCCATGAAATTAAAAGATGCTTGCCCCTTGGAAGAAAAGCTATGACAAACCTAGACAGAATATTAAAAAGCAGAGACATCACTTTGCCAATAAAAGTGCATATTGTCAAAGCTATGTTTTTCCAGTGTCATGTACGGATGTGAGAGTTGGACCATAAAGAAGGCAGACCACCAAAGAATTGATGCTTTCAAACTGTGGTGCTGGAGAAGACTCTTGAGAGTCCTTTGGACAGCATGGAGATCAAACCAGTCAATCTAAAGGAAATCAACCCTGAATATTCACTGATGCTGAAGCTGATGCCTGATTAGAAGGGCTGACTCATTAGAAGAGACCCTGACGCTGGGAAAGATTGAGGGCAGCCGGAGAAGGGGATGACAGAGGATGAGATGGTTGGATGACATCACTGACTCGATGGACATGAGTTTGAGCAAACTCTGGGAGATGGTGAAGGACATGGAAGCCTGGCATGCTGCAGTCCATGGGGTCATAAAGAGTAGGACTAGGACATATTTGACTGAACAACATCAACAAAGAGATAACTGAAACAATATATTTTCTCCCCCTCTTATCTTCAAGGCTATACCCTTAAGCCAGGCAGAAGGGGTCCAGAGAGATGAATAAACCCTGAGTGAAGACTGTGGACAAAAAGAAACGGAGACTGGATACAGAGCACAGCAAAGCTGAGTCTGCAACACTGTATTCCCTCAATGATGATCTGGGTGCCTACTATGTGCAAGGTAGCACAGCCCAGTAATTAGGGGTATGGGCTTGGATTCAGATGTGTTGAAATCCTGGCTCTCCCACTTGCTAGCTATAAGAACTTGGAAAAGTTACTTAAACTTCTCTGAACCTCAGCTTCTCCAGACAGTGGAATGGAAGTCAACTATAACTACTTCCAGAAGCTGCTGGGAGGAAAAGACAAGGTAATGTAGGAAAGCACTTTCTCCCCCTACCCCTAGGAAACTAGGAAACCCCTCTCACGCTTTGGCCATAACGTCACAAACGCCACTTTCTCGAGGAAGCCTTCCCTAATAGCACTCTCCAAACTTCCCAACTCCTGTGTATGACCCTGTGCAAACACACATCATCAGCTGGAGTTATGTGTTCGCTTATTAATCATTTATTCATGTTAGTCACACCCACTAGAGACCATCAGCTCCCTGAGAAGAGAGTCTGTGGTGCCCTATACCCAGAACAGAGCCTGCCACCCAGAAGAAAAGTGTCTTTAAATATCTGCTGAATGCAAGAAAGGCATTTAGCCCAGAAGCCTGACTCATGCGAAGTATTCTCTAAATGAGTCTGGCCCTGAGCTATGTGCTTCTGTGTTAAGCTTCCTTCCACTAATAAGCTTCCTACCCAGAGGAAGCTTATTAGAGTCTAATGAGGAAAAAGACACATGCAGAACTATCCAACACTGTCAAAGATGGTCACTGAGGCCCAAAGTGTCCCTCAATGCCAAGGGATACTGCATGAGAGGAGTTTTCTAGTTTCCTAAGGGTAGGGGGAGAAAGTGCTTTCCTACATTACCCAGTTTATTCCTCCCAGCAGCTTCTGGAAGTAGTTATAGTTGACTTCCATTCCACTGTCTGGAGAAGCTGAGGTTCAGAGAAGTTTAAGTAACTTTTCCAAGTTCTTATAGCTAGCAAGTTGGAGAGCCAGGATTTCAACACATCTGAATCCAAGCCCATACCCCTAATCACCAGGCTGTGCTACCTTGCACATAGTAGGCACTCAGATAATCATTGAGGGAATACTGACAAGGCAGAGATTACCTTGTGATGGTAACAACCCAGAAAGGCTTTCCAAAGGAGCAGTGGCATTAGAGAACTCACATTTGTTAGTGCCAGTCCTAACAAAAAATGGGGTGGTGGCTTTTTCTCTTTAGGGCCCAGAAGCCTAGTCTAAGGCAAAGTCTACATCAGATCAATAAATAATTTATTTGTTCACTCATTCATCACTCATTAGATGTATATTGAGTACCTAGGAAGTGCCAGGTACTATTCTAGATATGAGATCAATTAACAATGTCAAAAAGCTGGCATTCCACCCCCAAAAGGCCTCCACAGCAACCCCATCATAACCAGGGTCCCACTCACTCCTCTGTGACCTGGGCCCCCAACAGTATCACTTCCTCTAATGGAGGTCAGGTCTTACCTCTTTTAAAAAAATATACATCTCCAGGAACTTCCCTAGTGGTCCAGTGGCTAAGACTCCAGGCTCCCAATGCAGGGGCCCTGGGTTCAATCCCTGGTCAGGGAGCTAGACTTCACATGCCGCAACTAAAAAGAAAAGGATCCCGCAGGCCACAACTATGACTGGATGCAGTCAAATAATTTTTTTTTAATAAATTTAAAAACCCATCTCCAGGCTTCCAGAGAGTATTGCCAGTGGAGGCTGCCCAAGATAAAATACAATTCTTGCAAATCTCCTGAAGATGTAAGCTGAAAGGTCTTCTGATATCACACTCTCATCTGTGGACAAAGAATGTCACCTGCCACTTCGGTAAATACACAATGTTATGGCATAAATCTTTCAGCCTCTGGGGCCATCTCTGAGGGTGCACCCTGAGGGGATTCAGGACAGAGAAAAACAGGATAAAGGCCCTAGACAGTTAAGGAGCTTATCAAAGGAATTTCGATGAGTCCAGACTCTTGAATTATTCCATACACAGAAAAGCATTAATTCCATTAACTTGAGATGTCTGGTTTTCTTTCAATAGCAGTAATCTTTGGACAGTCAACTATCCTTTTCTTTGTTTAAACTCATATATTCTGGCTTCTTCCTAACTTCTTCCGACCAATCCCTCAGAGCTATCTGAGAGACTATATCCAGGCTTAGTCCTCAGCAAGTCTGCCCAATAAAAATCTAATTCTCAACTCTTAGGCTGTGCTTTTTTTTTTTTAATACAACACATCTTAAATGAAGAAACTGAAGCCTCCAGAGAGATGACCCTTGATCAACATCATCAAGTGAACTAACTAAAAGCAGAACCAGACTAGAACCCAGGGGTCCCACATCCCAGGTCTGGATGCTTGATTTTTCAAAGAATTTCCTATTCTACCGTTACAAGCCACAGTTCCAAGGAAAGCCCTTGAGATAAAGAGAACCACTGACTACTGAGCCTAGATTGTACAGTTACAGAAGCGCGAATAACCGTAACCTTTCAAAGAACTTAACAGGCAAGCGTCAGTCACTGTGATAAGCACTCTGTGAGAAGTATTTCACTTGAATCCTGACAACTCCTAAGTTAGTACTATTATTTTTCCCATCTTACAGATTACAAAACTAAGGCATGGAGGCGCCCAAAGTCCCACCCACAGCTGTTAACAAAAGAGAAAGGGGTGAAGTGGCAGAACGACAGTGCAGAGTAAACGAGGATGGCGGCACCAACGGCCCCCACTAGCTTTGACTCAGTAAATGATGTATTTACTGGAGACATCGACAAGCTCTGTGCAACCTCAACGGGGCTCCAGAGCCGGGGCTCCCCGCGACTCTCCCTCCAGCTGCGGCAGTTGTGAACGTGATGCCAAGCACCGAGACTTTCCCTCATCCTGGAGGAGGAGCCTTCGAGGAAATCCACCCCCGCCCCCGCCCTGGCCCGGCACATCCCAGAGGCAAAGCCCGCAGCTGGATGGGGACCTCCGCGCGGGCAGAGGGGAGCAGAGAGGAGGAGGGGAACTTCGGGCGCCGCTGCCGGGAGCGCAGACTGCCTGGCCGCGGGGGCAGCGCGGGAGAACGCGAGCCCCGGCCGAGCCCGAGCGGGCAGAGTACCTTTCGGAGGAAGCTGGCGACCACCTGCTCGAAGGGGTACTTGAACACCTCGTGCACGTCCACGGTGACCCCCATCCCGGCGCGCCTACCACGCCTCCGCCAGCACACTGCGGCTGGAGCTCCGACTCAGCCGGGCCGCAGGCGTCCAAGCCCGGGAAGCCTAAGGGGCGTGGGGGTTTTTTCTCTTCCTTTTTCAAACTTTCGAAACTTTATTGTCCACTCGGCAAAACAGACAGTTGGCACGCCCCTTTCCCTTCCTGGTCCCCTTCCGCCAGTCTGGGCGGCAGGCGAGGGAGGTGCCGGGCCCCCGGGCGGTGTCGGCCGGAGGCGTCAGGAGCGGCACCGCCCCGCCCTGGCTCCGGCTCCGCCCCTCCCCCGTCTAATCACACCTCGCCCACGCCCCGCCACGCCCCGCCCCATGGCCACGCCCCGCCCCATGGCCACGCCACGCCCCATTGCCTCGCCACGCCCCCACGGCCTCGCCGAGCGCACCTCTGCGGACCTGAGTTTCCACCTCCCAGCTGGGGAGTCTTGAACCTTGCCGCTGGGGCTTTTGTCATCACCTCACCTGGAGCCTTACTTAAGCCGCTACTGGCAGCACTAAAAAGATGTAATAAATACATAAACTACCCTCCCTCCGAGTTTAGGGACTGTAATATAACCCTCCTCAGTGTTGCCCAGTTCAGTGTGACAGAGGCCACAACTGCATTCCTCACAGGACCTGGGCAGTTGCCTCTGAGGCTCTAGGTTGTATCTCAAGTACTTAAAAATTGCCTGTATCAGAGTTAGGGTCCCCCCCACCCCCACCCCTGAGGAGGGCTATAGGGGAGTTCTACATAATTTTTGGAGGTCTTGTGAGATAAACAAGACCAACAAAAAGTAAAAAAAAATAAAAAGAGAAAAAAAAAAAATTGCCTGTATCTGCGTGTGACTCCATAAAGAAATTCCTAAATACATGAAAGGTTAAACACCTTGGGACGAGGAAACAAGGGATAGAAAAAGAATTTTGAATGGTCTTCACTCAACTGTACAGATTTTACAAAAACAAGCCAGTGAATCCATTAATCCAATACCTTATTTAATATATGAATTCCTGGTCACCTACTATGTGCTAAGCACAGTGCAGTAAGGAAAGTATAGTCCCTTCTGTCATATGGAATGAGTTAACCAGATGATTTAACACCCAGTGAGTACATCCTTGGATGGCATCACCGACTCAATGAACATGAGTGTGAGCAAACTCCAGGAGATAGTAATGGACAGGAAAGCCTGGCATGCTGCATGGCATGCAGTTCATGGGGTCGCAGAGTCTGATATGATTCAGCAACTAAACAACAACAAAAAAATAGAAAAAGAAACAAAATAATAGGTCAAAGTTACAGGTGACATAATTTTAGCTAGGATGAATCAGAGAGGTCTCTGAGGTGGTGACTTTTACATTTATAATTGTGTAATCTCACTTACCCCTGACAAATAGAGTCACACTGATCTGGCAAAACCTTGAATAAATCCATCTCTCCACTTACTCACTGCCTTACCACTGAGAGAGCCTTGAGAAAAAGTATACACTCAGACTTCTATTTAAATTTGTAACCAACCTCAAAGAGCCTTTTCAGTGGCGCTTAGACCAAAAACAAAAACCCTGCAATTTTCTAATCCACTTCATGTCCCAGGCTCCTCTCTCTTCAAGCCTCCGACACTCCCTCCCCAGCTTCATTCTCAAGTGATTATGTAGCTTCCTTTTTCACGTAGTAACAGGAAACATCTCTCTACCATATCTGCCCACCTGTCCATTTGCTCTGCCTTCTCTCCTGTTCTTGTGGTCGAACTGGTAACGCTTAGTTTGGGGCCAATCTCTGCACTTGTCCACCACATCCAGTCGTGGGCTGCAGATGGTTAACAAACAGCTCTACTTTAAAAATCAAACCAAAACAAGGCCTGATGTCTAATGGCTGCAATTTCTGCAGTGTAAACACTCCCACCACAGTCGATTTCAAATGACCAGGGTGGTGTCATTTCCATCACCCACACACTACAGACATAGCTATAAGAATATAGACCATGGTAAAGGTAGTAATGGAATTAGGAAGGGAAGCTTTTTGAATATCTATTACCTTTCAAAATATAGTTTAGTAGTATTTTTATATAATTTAATATTTAATAACAGCTGTGTTTAACAACCAGCTGATGAGGTTCAGAACACAGTAGCCCAAAATATGGCACCTCAGCATACAGAATATTTTAAACTGAAGGAGTCTGCCCAAACTGCAGAAGCAGGAAGATCTCTCTGGCCTTCCCCTACCCTCTTCCCCTGAAGCAGACCTTTCCTCTATACCCAGAGGAAAGAAGCATGGTTATCTCCAGGATGAAGGGTCACCAAGAAGAATCTGAACAAACACAGCTTGCCAAGTTTCCCCCAGTTTACTACACTTACCTCATCATACCCTTTGTCCTATACTTCTCCACAACTACCCACTCTTTATCAAAGCTAGAATAAAAACGTTTATGTTTAACCATTTCTTCAGGTCTTCATTTCATTATGAAGGCTCTTATGTCACTTATAAAACTTAGTTAATAAATCTGTATCCTTTTCTCTGGGACTTCTCTGGTGTATCAGCGGTAAAGAATCTGCCTGCAACGCAGGAGACATGGGTTCAATCCCAGGGTTGGGAAGATCCCCGGAGAAGGAATGGCAACCTACTCCAGTATTCTTGCCCAGGAGACCCCATGGACAGAGGAGCCTGGAGGGCTGCAGTCCATGAGGTTGCAGTGTCAGACATGATTTAGCAACTAAACAACAATGCTTTTCTCCTAATAATCATTGTTAGTTTAATTTTCACATCCAGCCAGGGGTCCTAAAAGGGTAAAGGAAAACTTTTTCTCCCTTACACAGCTCTACTACATCCCTAAAGTTCCTTGTCCTCTTTCTGGCTCAAAGACATCTCTCAAGCCTTATCCACTCCCTCTTTTCTGCATCGTCAGTTTTGCCTCTACTGGTTGTTCCAGCCACCATACAAGTACATTGTGATTTCTTCCATCTTAAAAAAAAAAAAATCCACCCACCCTCAACCCCATATCTTCTGCCAGTTCTATTTCAATTCTCTGGTCCATTTTTGTTCCTATAATCTCTTGAACCCACTCCAACCTGTTTGAGCCCCTGACACTCCACTGAACCTACTGCTGTCAAGGTCACCAAGAACTAAATTGTGAAACCCACTAGTTAATTCTTAATCCCCACTTTACTAAACCTATGGGTTACATTTCCTTGGAATATTGAATGAGAAGTGGGGTGAAGGGTTAGATGCCAAAGCCATTACACATTGAATATACTTATAAAGCAACTCTACTGTATCATCAACCCATCCTCAGAGGAAAAAAACAACCAGTGTCCCTGGGAGATTACACACACACACACACACACACACACACACAGCCCCACAAAGGGGAGATAGTTTGCTTGTAGAGTTTATGGTGTCTCTAATCTGCATCTGCAATCAGACGCAGCTGGAAACTGAGTGTGACACAGAAGCTCCTGTAAGGCTAGACCCTAGGCTCCCACTCCATCCTGACCATCGATTTCTTCCAGAACATATCCGTGGAAAGCTGCTCACCCACTCCTGGTGAACTGGCCACAAAAAGGCTAAGACTGTATACTGAAAGATTAAAGGACCCAGCACCTGTTGGCTCTACTTGGGCTGATTGGCTAACTGCCTTGTGTAAGAACAAATGCCACCTGCCTGTTCCAAGGACATCAGAGCATTTGAAAGTGAAAAGGGGCCCAGCTGGACAAGGGAGGCCACTGACAAGCAGTCTTGTGGCTCAGAATCACAGCCAGTTTGCACAACTTTCTTACTATGTCCCCAGGGGAGAGAAGAGGGCTGCAAAACAACTTTCCTTTGCTTTGAAATCAGGTGGCTTCACCAGTCAGGGACTCAAGTCTGGAAATTTACTAGTCAGCCTCACAAATTCAGACCTTATGTGGTCTCTAAGATACCAAAATCATCTTTGCATCTTCAAGGCAAGGCCCAGCAGACCATCCCATACATTTGGATGGAATGAATGGATGATTGGCCCTTTACACATGTTGTGAGATATAAGTGGATGGAGAGATTCATCCTGCTCTTCTTTCCGTTTTCATTTACTCACCCTTTTTACACTGGCTCAGTTTCCTCTTCTGACTCTCTCTTTTTCACACTGATCTTTTTTTATCGAGCCTTATAACTGTCTGTTCATGTGAATTCTCCACTGAAGTATGAGGTTGTCCAGACTAGAAAGAACTGTGTGCCATTCACTCTTCCCTATCCGGTGTTGAGTAGGAAAAATCTCAGTCCATCTGTTGTGTTTCTCTTTTATGCTCACATTACTACCACACTCACAATACTTCTGACACCAGGTGTGTGGGGGTTTCCCCCACACTGAGAAATTCTGTGACACCAGCTAGGTGTCCTCCAATGTAACTCAATTCTGACACCATCTATCTGGAGAGAGCAACAGACCACACAAGTTAAGGGGTTAGTCCCACAAGACTGCCCCTCCCTTCAGATGTCAATCCCAAGTCCAGGTGGTTCCTCATGCTTCTGACCCATGGGCTATAAATCAGAGTTCCCCATGGTTCAATAAATTTGCTAGAGTAGCTCTTAGGACTCAAGGAAACAATTTACTTACTGTTTACCAGTTTATTATAAAAGGACCTGACAAGTCAGTTCTCTGCATCTTTGTCTCTATACGTGCCTTGCAAATAGGTTCATCAGTACCATTTTTCTGGATTCCAGTGAGGGAAGGAGAAGGCGGGATGAACTGAGAGAGTAGCATTGACGTATTTACGCTACCAAGTGTAAAATAGATAGTGGGAAGCTGCTCTCTAGCATAGGGAGCTCAGCTTGGTGCCCTGTGATGACCTAGATGGTGGGATGTGGGGAGGGGAGGGATATATATATACTTATAGCTGATGCATGTAAATTTACAGCAGAAACTAACACAACATTGTAAAGCCATTATACTCTGATTAAAAATAAATTTAAAAAGGAGAAATCTAGTTTCTATACCTTTACCTAATAGAATAGTCATTTTTAAAT